ATGTTCATGTTGTTGCATTTCCCGAACAGATACTTTGAACGAATACTTTTGTGATTCACTTCAAAAACTAATTTCGAAAATTTAGGAACTTGTATTTCAGTACATAGTTTCAAATTCATGTTCTGATTGGTCCATTGTGTCATTGCTTCGCCAGTATTATTCAGCCAGATAAATCCAGAACGCTCATTATATGAGTGAGCGTTTTGGACTTGAGGACACAGTGTGAGAGGCACTGTACTCAATAAACTATGGGCAAACCTTAGAACAATTTGTTTTTTGATGAATATTTGCGTAAATTTCAGAGGTTATCTCCTCTTCGATTAACTCCTCACTGCCTTTTAAGATTCACTCGGCTCACTTCTCTTCGTGGCTTCTCTTCAGCGCAAAAAGTGCTATATGATGTTTTGGTTGTATCTTTACCAGTTTCAACCTCCACATCATGAGCGAATTCATCGTGGCGTATCGTTTAGAAGTATCTGCATTGTCTTTAACATTCTCTTGCTGTGTCAAATATCTGATCAAGCTCCAGCCAATCAAGATCAACTACATCTCGTCCAAGTGGTTCGTTGTATTTCCCAATTTCCACTAAACAGGCATATTTTCTTATTCCTATGGAAACAGATTCGTACTTACAGTGACAGTTATTAGAAATTTGTTAGGTCTCTCCGGAACGAGTCTATTGTGGGTTCGGAGAGCGCTTTTAACAGATCATGCTGAAGTGTTGCACTGCAACAAGGTCGGTTCCTTGAAATGTGATGAACAAACGCTGAATAATGTTAATCAATTGAACACTTCGAAATTAATTATAAGAATATGGTTTCGAAATAGCCTAGTCATCCAGGGAATATATTCCCTTACAAAAAAGTATCTTACATTCAGATATGGCGTGACGGGGATCACGTTCCAGCGAGGATCTGCAAGAAGGACGCAAACCACTGGCCCGGACAACAGTGGGGACAGCTGACTGTCGTAAGTCGAGCTCTTTTGATCAATAGCGATCTGGCACTTGGCACAACTCATTTGCGATCGATTGATAAGCGAATCGATCAGTGTGAAAATTCCTTCAAATTACCCGATTAATTCCCACATGGAGTGAATTTGTTCGGAAGAAAGTCGCTTGAGCTTGAATTTCAGACAGGAATGCAACAGCACCACGCGCTAGGTGCCCTTCTGTTCAAAAAGTATGCAATTCAAGCGGAACTCCTTAATACCACATATTCATCATCTGAGGTAAGAGTTAATCACATTATATTTTGGATTCAAATTCCATGAGCAGACAATTTTTGCCGAGTTTTGTCGATGGATATGAAGAAATTATTTTTGAAGAACAAACAATCGATGAAGATCATCAGAATGCGAGCAATTTTGGAAGTCGCATCAGCAAATACTCGAAATAAGGAAAGCGGTGAATATGAAGCAAAAAAAATCTATTCTAAAATAAAAATCAGATTACATTCTTAAACAAGAGAACTGATCGCATAAAAATGAGATCCATTCTAAGTCGATGAAATTGAGCACGACGAACCGAATCAGAGCCGTTTCAAACGAGACATTTTCAGTTACACATCAGAACGGTTGACCTGAATCGAACAATCACTAGCGCCACATCAAACGCGCTAGGGATGTTTTATGACGACAGCAATTTGGTGACTGGTTTGGACTATCCGAATAATAAGGATTGGCCGAAAGGATATCTGCCGATTCCTGTGCATATGATTGAACAACAAACTGATCATGTAAGATCAACAGCACCTAATGAAGTGCTCTCAAAATCTAATGAAGTACTGAAATCCACTGAAATTGTCATAACTAAAAGAACTGGCCAACTTTCCATGGTTAAATGCTCAAACGAGTTGTTTTGGATATCCGATGCACATTACTCATTCAACATGAACGCTACGCAACATCGTGACTATCTGATGAAATTTCAAGTGGTTCTCTAGCTGTGGCATTTGTAAGGGTGATTCACGCAACATCTGATAGACAGAATCATCACGCATTCAGAATAGAAACTTTGTTGTCACTGTTTTGGGAAATCATTCAGTTGATAGTTCAAGTGAATCAGAGTGATTAGTTTAGAAGAGCAATCTTCAAGTTCTATTGAAGTTCAATTTAGAGCTGATCGCAATTGTTGCCGTATTTTTCAGCTTCTGAGTCTTGACTCAGAATGCGCTCGACGTCGTTATCTCATCAACGATGTTCTTCGCAAATCCAAGCAATTCACTGAAACCGAACAAAAGGCGCAGGTTGAGCGGTTTCAGACATTACAATTTAGCTCAAGGAAATTGAAAAAAAGCACCCTTAATTGAAATCAAGACGTGACTGTGGGCATTACACAATGATACTTGAAGTGGTATTGCAATTTGAGGCAAAGAACTGATTCATCTCAGTTCATACGCTCTCGCCATTCGCAGCATTGAACTAAAAGGTTTTTGAATTCAGGCATTCCTTGATGAACTGTCAAAAATATGTGGCGAAAAAGTCACGCTTACGGATGTGCCCTTTCTGATGAATTCGTATCGAATTGAGGTAAATGNCTCGCTTCATTCTGCGTTGTTACCGTTACTGTTAAATCTTGGAATCTTACATGCCAAAATTATGATCAAATTGCTCTACATTAAACAATTTCGTAAGCGGCACTGAGATCTATGCTCACGACCTTACGAAACTCATCGAGAAGAGCTACGTCCAACAATTCATCAGCTAATTAGACTTTAATTATTCAGCGCTCACAAGGAAGAATGCCGTTGTTGTCACGAGAGCGGTACCAAAAACTGCAACCAATAGAAAACCTACTGAATAACTATATGAATGGGAAAGGTGGGTTATGGTTTGAAAATCAATCGTATTTGTTGATTAGTTCCGTCATTAAAATCTCCAAACGTTTTAATACCAATCAATTGATATTTTGATGCATTCAGAGGTATCCCGAGAATTGAGACAAAATCTCATGCTTAGATGATTGGAGAATTGTGAATGATCTCAGTCAGCTAACAAAAGAATCCAATTTTCTTCGTGCTTTCATCATTCCGTGAACTATGATCACCGTAATGATCCCAAAAAATCAACAAATCTCATAAAGTGCCCTCTAGGAATGGATTTCCATTTCCAGGTATAGAAGGAATTCAAGATATAGATCTGAGTGTTGAATTACCTAAAGTTCGAGCCGGTGGTCTTCTTTGGCAGATCCTAAATCGTATGGACGCGAAGGTTTTGTTTTTCTATATCATTCAACTTTTAAAATTTCTGAAAAAGTTTCTCATTCTAACTTGTTCCAAATGCTATCACATCTGCAGGTAAAATGCTTGAATAGTGCGACTGATAAGAAAACGAAGGAATGTAAATATCTGGACAAGTTGAAATACTACGCATACTCTGTGGTAGGTTCGATCTACGAGTTTGATTAATAATGAAAATATGAGTTATGAAATGGAACAATGAACATAGTCACTCTTCCGAGTCCAATGAGAATTCACAGACAGCGATATCATTCGATTAGTAGTTTGTTTCTTACCTGTCACTGATCAATTATCAATAATGATATTGATGTGGTTGGTGATAGTGAAACGATTTCGTTTAATAATGCAAGAAGACTTTAATAATGTTGTTAATCGCAACGGTGGTGATTCCTTATTGCTGACAGTGTAGCAGTTAATCTGAGCATGTGGTGAGCTGATGATAATGGTGAGAATAACCGAAACAGAAATTTCCGCCACATTCAGGCAGGGAATATGTTTGATGCGTTTATGGCGACGGCTCATCTGGAAACTCCATCAGCCCAAAATCGGACATCAGATGCATCGGCAATTCTGTTTGAGTTTTGGACTACGGCCGAGGGTGTCAACGCGATCAAGGTCATATCTAGGTTCCATTTGCAACTCTCACAGCAGTCGACATCCAACTAATGTCGTCGTTTCGTTCAAAATTACTAAGAGTTTTGTTAATAGTCTCAAGATGCTTTCAAAAATTCCTCAGAGAGTAGTACAGGCATTTCAGCGACTTCACTCGTTTTAGGTTTTCTATGTGGATTGTCCAACAAGCGATTTCAAATCATTGAATCCGCAAATTTGCAATGGTTAGTCATTACCTGAGAAGCAACTAATAAAAAAGATTCTATGTTTTTGACTCAGTTCATCGAACGTGATAGATTCACATTGCAATCGGCAAGGTTTTTGTGATCAAATTCCAGGAACAGCAAAGGATTTTTGTGTGCTGGATGAATTCAAAAAGAAAATGCAACCGTATAATCCGGGAGACATTGACGCTGTTCGTTCCATTTTTTCATTATGATTCAACTTACCGCACAGATTTCTGCTCATGATGAAGCAGTCATGAGGCCATTCATAAGACAAAGTTGTCAGTGAGCGACATGCTGAAATTCCATTTCAACTTCATTTGACCATCATTTGATCTCTCCTGATAACAAATATGTATTGTCACCAGCTCTCATATATTGCCACCATAATGCTAACTTGCTTCTAGTTATGTTCACAAGTACCGTCATCCTATCAAAATACAAAATCTCAGTCTGTTCGAGCATCGGAACAAGAAATTCAGTCGTTGGCTATTGACAAACAGCAAGAGGAACTCAACTCGACAGCAGCAGATGCCGCCGGAAGAAAACGTGAACTGATATTTGTGCATGCGGTACACAACATTTTTCAACGCTTCTCTTTGATTTTTGATGAAACAGTTTCCATAAATTTAAGTTGCTTCAAATGATGCATCCTTGTCGCGTCAGTATTGTTCAGTTACACGATCTCTTATGTGATCATCTTCTGTTGCATATAACCAATTCGAAGAGATTCTCATAGTTGCATAAGAAAGTGTGAGATTTAAACAAGGTTCATATTGAGTTACAACATCAAAAAGCAGAATCTCGAATAATTCCTCGAAATTTCAGGCATGGCGTCATGGTGATCGAACTCCAAAAAGTATTTGTCCGAACGACCGCGATAATCAAGCGTCCACATGGAGGAAAGGACATGGTGATACCACCGTGGTACTTTCATATCAGCCACATTTGTTGAGCAATTTTTATGCCAGAACGGCTTCCGCAGTGATCAAATGATTTCACTGCAGAATAACCGAAGACAATTTGTATTTCAGCTTGGAATGCAAGAACAACAGCAGTTGGGAGCACTCATTTATAATGAATATGCTGTCAAGAACAAATTTCTTAGTGCAACATATAATTCAGCCGAAGTAAGTGCGCTTGTTCACTTGTCTTATTCTAACAGTTACCTGAGGTGCGATTACGAGAACCTTCGGAATTCAGTTTCTCACAAACTTTGCTGGTTCCTCCACATTGCAACTTCTCGAGATGACCTTCTCTGGAGATGAAAATACCAAAAGTTCTCAACGATTTCACAAGAGAAAAGCCAATGCTCACAATCTATTGATTTTCTGGAGTCCATGTCCAGACGGATCTCTCCAGAGTCTGCAAATGTACTGTTTATGTGTGTGTACAACCTGGGTTCTTGTCGTTCTCACTGTGGTTGGCACAAAGGGAAATAAAATGGAAAACCCCAAAAAAAAAATCGTGACTTTTCCATGTTTTTTATGTTTACTACCGCTTGCAGCTGTACGTTCGTGCAGTGGATCTGAACCGAACACTTACAAGTGCCCAATCGAATCTGCTCGGAATGTACTACAATCGACCCAATCAGGACAACTTATATCCACATGAAGCTGCTTGGCCAAAAGGTTACTTCCCGATCCCAATCCACACCGTCAACATGGCTACCGATTATGTGAGTAGTGTCATGACAACTCACCAGGTATGAAGGATAAGCAATTCCACATGAATTCTGAAGTGCTCCAATGCAATCTCAAAATTCTTGCTGCAAAAGACTGCTTTAAATGAAAATCACAACAATATTTGTTGTTTCTTACAGGTATCCGATCCTCATGCAATATGCGCACGCAAAAATGACCTTTTGGCACTTCAGTGGAAAACTGAGAAGGTCACAGAATTTGTAAAGAACAATCAGGTCAGTTGGTGTCGACAGAGCACGTTCACAGAGTCTCTCATTAAGATTTTCAGTTGCTCCGAATTAAGGGACAATAACACTAGAATTCGAAACTACATTGAACACGAAACAATTCTGCTCGAATTTAGAAATTTCGATCATTAGGTTAGCTTCGGGAAGTTATTTGAGCTGAATATCTGAATTTCTGATTATTTCTTCGAACAATCTTTCAGGAATTCTTGAAAGAGGTATCAAACGTCTGTGGCGCACCTCTTACAATTAAGAATATTTCAGTAGCAGTTGACACTATGTTTGTTGAGGTGATTACTTTCTCGACTTTATACGATTAATTCACTCATAAACCACTGATTCACCAAGCGTTGGTTCGCCGTCGATCGTTTACAGAGATCGCTTTGAATTTCGAATTCAAAAGCTGATAAAACTTCTGAATTCGTCATGTTTATTTCCAACAGATATGATATATTTGAAGTATAGAATTCCTAAGAAATACGGAAGAATAAGTGAAAAAACATAGAAATGTTTCAATAGTTTGTGGTTTGAATAATCTCTGCTAACTGTTGAAGCTACAACACAATCGAACACCAATCTTCAATCAAAAGCAATACGAACACATGATCCGAATCGATAGCTTCATGAACGACTTCTTCGATGGCCTTCTTAGTTAGCAACTACCTTACTGCGCAAATTTCTTTGCTTACTTTGAAATTGTCACGAGGATTTGATAAGCTGTTGGTGATCAGTTGGAAATCGAAAGGATGCAAATGCTCATTGACATGCTCTGATATTTATCCACTTTCTTAATGCTTTCGATTTCTTGATGACCGAGAAAACTGGTCTGAAGAAGAAACTATTCCGTATAACTGCATTAATCTCATCCGGGATTTACGCTGGAGCATTTTATTTAGACTCGGTAAACGAAACCTTTCACGGTTACAACCTACGAGTGGACTTGGCGACAATTGCAGGTGGAAATTTGTTGTGGGACATGATTCACAGAATGCAGGAAAAGGTATCAGGGAGTTCCCGTGCCTATGTCGTCACTCATCTATTCGCTTCTGTACTCTAGATTTCCTCAACCTCTGAATTGCTGAATGAATTGAGGAAGATGAGAGCAATTTAGCTTTAAACAATCCCAAGTTGCCATTCTAAATCGCGTTAATAACGTGCAAACGATTGTTTCTATGGTCTTCATAAGCGTATTTTGCAGATCAAATGTTCTCAATTGGTGAACATCAACAAAACGGAATGTACGTGGATCCGAGACCTTAAATACTACGCATATTCCACGGTAAGTTCGGACATAATCTCACTGAATTATTCAGCCTCGCACGCTGTCGAATCTAATATTTATTTGCATTTGAAAACTCTATGAAAGGCTGGGAAGTGCGGAATCTCTGCTCATGAGGTGCGCAATGCTCTTCATTGGTTTGATACATACATAATGGATATGAATTACTATATTGTGGTGTTATGCCATCAACTGAATATACTGAAAGTAGATGATGATAAGCAGTAATGATAATACGAATGTTATGTTCAGCGAGGCTCAAC